GGGGAATGGGAAGGAGGAAAGGGGGAGGAGGAAGGGGGGAGGAGGAAGGGGGAAGGGGAAAAAAGAGGAGGGAAGGGGGAAAGGGAAAGAAAAAAAGAAGTAAGGGGAAGGAGGAAGGAGAACAGAGGATGAAGGAAGGGGGAAGGAGGAAGGTAGAAAAAGGGAGGGGAAAGGAGGAAGGAAGGGGAAGACGGAAGGGGAAAGGAAGGAAGAAAGGAAGGAGGGAAAGGGTGAAGGAGGAAGGAGAAAGCAGGCAGGGGGAAGAGAAAGCAGAGGAAGGGTGAGGAGAGGGGCAGGGGGCCAAAGAGCCTCCACCAGAGCCAACCAGGATACCGATACCAAAATTCCGACACGATCCCCGCCGACGACCGCCCGAAGGCATAATTGAACCGTCCGACAATAAATCAAAGGATATCAACGTCCATCACCCTGGCGAGCTGGTCGGCTGCATTTGCATAATCGGCGCAACTTTTCGCCGGTGGGTAAGTAAGTCGGCGAAAACAGGCCGAGAAGCCAAGGGCGCCAGAGGCCAACGGATGCTTCCCTCCGTCCAAGGGGGTAAATAACACGACCTGAAACTGTTGTCGCGTTCATGTTGCTAAGGGAGTCTTATGTGCCAGGGTGATTGACCTCAGCTTTTCATGAGATGAAAAAAAAACCTCTCTAATTCCTTCTCTTGCTTATTCTTTCTTCCTTACTTTATCTCTTCTTCCCTCTACATTCACTCCTTTCCCATATATCCTAGCCATGATATAAGCACCTCCTTGCAACCATTACAAAGATATCCAATAAAACTCACACATTCAAGGCATAAAGCTCTTTACTTCCCTCCCTTAGGTCTAATGTCCTTCACTCCCCTCCCTTTCTTCTTCCTTTCCCCGCGACACATCATCACAAGGAGAAAGAAAGAAAGAAAAAAAGAAAAGCGCGCTGCACGAGCTCTAACCATAACGGAGGAGCCAGACGAGCATCTTATCCGAGGCAGCAGCATCTCTTCTGGCTTAGGTCAGAGGTCACGGGAACGCAGCGGTCTCCTCGCAGCGTGTCCTCGAAGCCACCGCATGACGACTGCTGTTTAGGTGCATCTCAGCATCCAACATGGCCATGCTAGTCTTGTGTTAGTCCTCATGATTCTAAACCTCATATAAACTCACACGCTTAACTACATACATATACACTGGATATAAAAATGCATACGCATATAGGCCTATGATACACAAATACTCTCATGCACATTCGTATAAGTATACATGTATATATGAACGTACGTATGTATGTGTGCATGTGTATGTACATGTATATGTACAGTAAATGTATATGTACAGTACATGTATATGTATATGTACAGTACATGTACAGTATATGTACAGTACATGTATATGTACAGTACATGTATATGTACAGTACATGTATATGTACAGTACATGTATATGTACAGTATATATATAAGTATAAGCATATGTGCATGCATATGTATGTGTAGGTACGTGTATGTGTGTGAATGTGTATATGTATATGTATGTGTATATACGTGTATATGTATATGTATATGTATGTGTATGTACGTGTATATGTATGTGTATTTTGAGAGAGAGAGAGAGAGAGAGAGAGAGAGAGAGAGAGAGAGAGAGAGAGAGAGAGAGAGAGAGAGAGAGAGAGAGAGAGAGAGAGAGAGAGAGAGAGAGAGAGGAGAGAGAGAGAAGAGAGAGAGAGAGAGGATGAAGGGAAAGTGAGAGGGAGAAAGCTAGTAAACAAATCTAAGTATGCCAGGAGATCCAAGCGTATTCATACACGTATGTATACCACTCTTCTCATCAGCTAGCTCCCACGATCTCGTCCAGCCCTAACCAAGCACCACCCCAGCCCCAACCCAGCCCCAACCCAAGCACCACTCCAGCCCCAAACCTAAGTATCAACCCAGCTCCAACCCAAGCACCGCCCCAGCCCCACCTAAGCACCACCCCAGCCCCAACCGCACCCCAGCCCCCAACCTAAGCACCCCCCCAGCCCCAACCCAAGCATCAACCCAAGCACCCTCCAGCCCAACCTAAGTATCAACCCAGCCCACCCCCCCAAGCCCCAGCCCCAAACCAAGCACCGCCCCAGCCCAACCCAAGCACCGCCCAGCCCCAACCCAAGCACCACCCCAGCCCCAACCCAAGCATCAACACACCCAACCAAGCCCGCCCCAGCCCCCCAAGCACACTCCAGCCCCAACCTAGCACCACCAAGCCCTAACCCAGCACCACCCCAACCTCAATTCAAGCACCACCTCAATCCCAATCCAAGCACCACCAGCCCCAACCCAAACCCAGCCCAGAGCCCCAACCCAAGCACCACCCATCCCCAGCCCCAGCCCAGCAATAAGCAAGCACCACTCTTAGCCCCCAAACCTAGGCACACCCAGCCCAAAGGCACCAATCCAGCTCCAACCCAAGCATCAACCCAGCCCCAACATAAGCACCAACACAGCCCCAGCCCACCCCAGCCAAAACCATAATCCTAAACCCAGCATCCAACCAAGCACCAGGCAAGCCCACCCCAGCCCAAGCACCACCCCAGCCCTGAACCCTAACCACAGCCCAGCCGTAACCCCAACCCAACCAAAGCACTACCCAGCCCCACCCTAACCCCAACCCAAGCACTACCCAGCCCCAGCCCTAACCAACCCCCAACCAAGCACCACCCCCAGCCCAGCCCAACCCAAACCCCAGCCCAAGCACCCGGCAAGCACAGCCAGCAGCACAGAGCTCGACCGCCTGGCTCTTGCCCATACAAGTCCGGCTCACAATCAATATCCAAGCTCTCACAGCGCGCCGTCTCTCCACCTTCCCTCATTATACAGATGATACCTACATGCAACATTTTCCAGCATTTTTTTTTTTCTTTTTTGTAAGCGTACGTGTTTCGTATGGATAAATGTGTGCATAAGGAGAGACTGTATTTAATTTTACGGTTTCTTTTTTCGTTTCGTTTCGTTTGGTAAATGATCAACTAACTTGAGCATAATCCAAGATTTCCTCTGAATGGGTAGCGGGGCACTGGGTGAGTGCTCGCGAGTGTATTTTGTGTAGCATAGTACATAGTACAACCAGGTGCTTCGGAATAGCACTGCTAGAGTAATATTCAAGCAGCCAAAGGTGGGCGTTCGGTGAATGATAATGATATAATATAATAACAAAAAATTAAAAACAACAATAATAATAATAATAGTAATAATAACGATGATAATAGTAATATTAATAATAGTGGTGATGATAATGGTGATAGTGACGACAGTGATGATGATGATAATGATGTTGAAGATGAAGAATAAGATGATGATAATGACTGATGATAAGGTGTGAAGATGATGAAGATGATGATGATGATGTTCAAGATTAATGATGATGACTGAAGATGATGATGATTGTGTTCAAGATGATGATGACGATTGATGATGATGATGATAATGTAAATGAAGTTGATGGCAATAATGAAAACCACAGAGTATCATTACGTATCGCAGGGAAGTTGCCCAACCTCCAGCCAAGACTTTCCAACCGGAAACCTCGCCCCGTCAGCTGAGCGAGACGTCCCGAACATCGGAGCCACGCAGAGCGCCGCCGGAGTCAAGTTTCCATTTGCTGATACAATCAAAGCCAAACTTTAAGCATCGATACAAACGGCACCGACGACTTCCGGATCTCGACATGATCACAGCCAATCTCCCGGGAACCTCAAACAATCGCTTCCAAACTTGAAAAAAAAGTTTAAATCACACCGAAAGCCTTCTCCTCCTTCGCCTCCCCCCCCTCCTCCTCCCTTTCCCGGCCGCACCGCAAGAAGGACGCGCGCACGGCCAAGGCCCAAGCCGGCCACCAAGACCCCATCATCTTCCTCCCGAGACAAAGTCCCTCGCCCAAAGGCCACATTCCTTCTGCTCATTTGATCGGAGGCCAAACACACGCACGCATGCCGGGCGCGCTCCTCGCCTCCCGAAGACAAACTTTGCCGCTGTCGTTCCACCTCCATCTGTCGCTTTCCCTCCCTTCCCCCCCCTGTCCCTACCCCCCTCTTCTCCCGTTAACTTCCCCGAGATTCGATATGACCCTCCCGAAGATTTCCGATCACGTAGGGCCAGAGGCGTAAACTTGGCCGCTCCTCTGTTATCAGGGCGAGCTGATGTGTGACGTCATTACAAACAACAAGCAAAGTTTCCCCTTCGCTCATATCGTCTTCTGTAGACAGCATTGCTCCCAGCTTCTTGTTTTTTTCATTGCTATTTTTTGTCTTCAACTAAAGTACTTGCACATTCCACTGTAAAAATGTACATTTCATCATGAAGGTTGAGGTCTCATCATTCCCTTTATGCTAATTGAAATACCACTAAATTTTGACAAATACAGGCTATATTTTTTCCTGGGGGTGAAAACACGCATGAAATCACAATGCGCAATCAGAATAAATATACATATAACACCGGCTGCTACCCTCGTTCCTTGCAATTTCATAATCAACATAACGGCCCTTCGTTGTTAGTTCTCGCTGCGTCCGCCAAGTCCTTCCTCAAAGCACAAACAGCCCGAAATCCCCTCCCCTTCGGCCGAACCCACGAAATAACACCCTTCTCTCTCCCCCTCGCCTTGGGACATGACTTTGCTCCAAAATACGCGTGCATCTTTCCCTCTAAAAATATCTCCCCGTTACTCAGCGCCCCTGAATTTTCTCCCCCTCTTACACTATTTGCACTTCCCCGATTTTTCTCTATCTAGAAATTCCAACCCTCAACCCCCCCCACACACCACCCTCCCTTCTCAAATTACCTCCCCATTTCCACATTTCTCCGCTTTCGAAAACTAAAACAATATGTACATTATCCCTCTTCTGGGAATTATACTTTTTCTATAAATTCCAGTTTAAGACCATGCTATCTTTTACACTTTAATTATCAAGCAGGAAGTGTTGGCAACGGATACTGTGTAACGGCATATGGAACGCATTGCAGGGGAATTTTACGAAAGATGCCTCTTAAAGAATACATTATCGAACAGTACAAATACTAATACTTTTGAAATGGAGTTAACGGATCACTGTCTTTTGTAGGAGAAAATAAGCTCATGTTATGCTCTATCTGCCAATCCTTGTAATTATCTTAAAGATGAGTGATAATTATGATCAACCACCTCAAACCGTTTGAGATAGAACCTAAGATCTAATTATAACTAGAAAACATATATGTATGATGTACAGATATAAGTGTTGAGAATATTTACATATATGTGCATCCACGAGCTATTGTCCAAACTGTTCGTATCTACCCTCAATGCCCTTCATCCAATATACAAATGTTAACTCAAACGCAATTCCGAGATATTCACGTGAGGTAATTGCTGTACCAATCCTTCGCTAATATATCTACACAAACTTATAATAAAAATGAGAGAAAAATGCTGGTCCATCATTAGACTCACCAAAAGTTCCCTTTGTTATCTAAGGTTATTAAAGTAGATAACCTTCATAGTAATACAATACGACTCTATCCCGGTCAGCTAAATCACCATCGTTAACCCCCTGGCGCCCGCAGTGTCTCCCGCGCCACATCAGAATACATTCCCACCCAAAGCAAAATGCATCGCGGACACAAATAAACGTGAACCGGATCCGGGAAGCGAAGAGAGTCCGAATCATCGGACACCCGCCGGCTCCGCACGTCATCAAGGAGAGACAATAAATGCAGAATGAACGCGCGTTACGGAGGCCTGCAGCTCGAACGTTGTCGTCATACACTCGAACGCGAGTCAATAACCGGCGAGCGCCGTATGGGCACGCAGATGACTGCGCGACCTGACATATCACTCCAGGGCGGGGTGGGTCGGGGTAGGCAGCTGCTTTCGGAATAACTGCCGGTCAAAATGAAAAAAAGTTTATTATACCTAATTCTTTCATTTGCAGTAAAAATACACACGCGTTTATGTGGACTTTGGAGAACAGCTGAACTTGGGAATCCAAGCACGAACGTTTTCTAAGGACACTCTCAGGACATTTGTATGAAGTCTGTTTTACAATTCTTGAGGAAATTCGTTCGTGTGCTCAGGGATAGCTAACGTTTCTCGTCTTTTACAACATTTCGATACTTTTTACCCAACATGTTTCTTAATGCAAATATTTGAGTAATAAGGAAAGTTAAATAGTGCATAGCATTTATGGAATTTCACAAGGAAGTTTGTCAGACATGTTTATAAATGTTATCACCACGATTTTATAGTATAAAGTGTAGCGTTCATAAGGAACATTTTCAAAAACTTAACGTCCCCCAAATTTCAGAAATCTTAACGACAAAGCATCATACGTGAAAGCAAAGAAACTCAGAAAAGACTTTGATCTTACACAAGCCAGTGCACTGAGACCAAGCCAGTAGTTATTCACCTCCCATCTACCCCTTGAAGGGTGCAGCAGGCCCTGAAAGTCCAATGTGTATAAGATTTTCCTTCAGAACCTGACACATGACTCAGCACATACAGCAAGTCGAGCAATGGCGCGCAGACACGTTATTTACATACGATCCGGGGGACGCCAGACTTGCACTCAGACCAGGGAGCAACACTAACTGATGCTTTACGGCCCACTAAACCGAACTCGTAAGACCCGGTTTATATCCTACGACCTGCATTTACCGGTCACCGCTCTGACATCAGAATTCCTTAAGTACCAGCCGCACTAGAACAAAATTCCAGTACTGGAACCATCAAGGCAGTTCAGGTAATGTCGCCCGCCTATAATCCAATAATCATGTTAACCCTTTTCCGAAGATAACAGCGCTATGGCGAACTGAACCGCTCAACTGTAGGAGATTTATTCTTGCCATCAAAACATAATAATATGATCTTCAGTAGACAGCAGTTCCAGCTCAAGTCTTAGATCCATACATGCATGCATACAAACACGCACGCACGCCCGTGTACGCAAACTCACACGCACACTCACACGCTCACTCGCACTCTCACACACACGCATGCGCGCGCGGGCGCGCACACACGCACACACACACACACACACACACACACACACACACACACACACACACACACACACACATTACATACACACACGCACACACACAAACACAGACATATACATACACACACACACACACACACACACACACACACACACACACACACACACATATATATATATATATATATATATATATATATATATATATATATATATATATATATACATGTGTGTATGCCTGTGTGTGTGTGTGTGTGTGTGTGTGTGTGTGTGTGTGTGTGTTGTGTGTGTGTGTGTGTGTGTGTGTGTGTGTGTGTGTGTGTGTGTGTGTGTGTGTGTGTGTGTGTGTGTGTGTGTGTGTGTGTGTACTATATGTATGCATGTACGTATGTATGTATATATGCATGTACGTATGTTGTGTGTGTATACGCATGCATATACATATATCTATATATAAAAAATTTGTGTATATATGCATATATATATACTTATGTATATGCA